GCGCCCCCCGCCCCCTCCGCAGGGCAAGGGCGGGCTGCTGGGGGAGGGGTGCGTTGACCTTTTTCCCCCTCCCGCATCCTCTCCGTGGTTGTCCGGGCTTGGGGGAACGGCTCTTCCTGCCCTTCCTCCTCTCTCGCCTTTGGGGAGTGCCCTGCAGGGGCCCCGGCCTGGCGAGGGAAGAGGGCGGGCAGGTCTGCCTGACTTTCTTCTCCGGCGCCGGCCGGGGAGGTGTCCGCCATCTACTGCTGGTCCTGGGGGTCGTGTTTCGTTACTTCCCCAACATACCTGCCGGCGCCCCCAACGTTTTTTGCACCCGCCCTCCCGGTTAGCCCGAGGAGGCATACTGGGATAAGTTAGTTGTATGAGGTTTCCGTTGGCCGAGGCTTCATGGCTTGGGCAGTCACCTGCCATTTCACCTTTAGAAATAAATAATTAAGACCGTGTGATGCTCCACTCTTTGTCAGTGGGTTTACGTGCCTGTCAAAGTCCACGTTTTTCTCGGTGGGTAGAGGTGACCTACTTTCTAAACCGGGAATGTGTGCAATCGTTACATGGTAATATGCACTGTAAATTGAACGGTGCCAAGCTAATTACACCAGGTGCTGCTGTGCAAGTGTGTCATTCAGGGACCAACTGTTTCACATACAGTGTTATTCCAAGGGATGATGCAGTTTATGCCCTGTTCATTTTAACTGACCTTTGGTGGAGGCTGAAGCTGTACTGAGCTGAGGTTTTTACCTGTTCTCTAGCCGTGGAATGCAAAATGCAGCTTTTACTGGAAGTGCCAAACCTCCGCTGCTTTGACAGTGACATTAAGTGCCGTTCAGGGAACTTTACGTGACGTAATATGCTCCATTACAGCCATCTGGACAGTGAACAAACAGGCTGTCCTTCTGTTGAGAAGTATGCAACTTTTAAGGGAAGAGCCAAAGAAAATTCCAGTGACTGTGACCTGTATCACTGATCATTAGCTATCATGATCTAAATTGAGAAAGAAGATGCTAAATAAGTGCAGTTTGTTGGATCCCTGTCCTAGATATAGATGGGCATACGTTAGCAACTCCTGCTGTGGCAATACATCCACTGTGTATTGATATTACTGATTTTATAAAATAAGATAAGATGAAGTTGGGGATTCTGTACAACTGAGTAGATATCTAGCGCTGTTCAAATTGTGATGCTTTCATCTTGTTACCTGAGGGGGAACTAAATCAAACTTTATTGTAAGTACATCATGTCATATGAAGTAGGATTTGTCTGTTGTTTGGAAGGAAGAGCAGATTCCTGCATTCTGCGATTTCTTTTTCTTTCTCTATGAGATCTAGTTTATTTAGGAAAAGATTCTCTGCATCTTTGTGAAAAGCTGCCCCACCTCCTGGTCGTGTTTTATCAGTTCAGCCCTGCCTACATCTGGGTAGGCAGTAGCTTTCATTCTCTTGTCACTTTAAACGGTGAGAAATTATTCACACATGTCTCTTGTTTTATATGATCGGTTTGAGGAGGTAGGTTAATGGCTATCAATAGTCTCCTGTTTGGAGGTACTCAATGTCAGTTCTGCTGAGCAATAGCACTGTTGTTTAAATCCATCACTTGGCTGCTGGGAAGGGTGACAGGACTTGGCTGTCTAGCAGAGTGCTGCTGCTGCACAATTTGGTTTGAGAGATGCTGCTTGCTTAGTGGGCAGCTCATTTGAACAGGAGTGCCCAATTCCTACTCTTGCACGGTTCAGTAGTTTTCCTGTTCCTCTTTAAAGCCCTCATATCTCTTCCAGTTTCTCTGCTCTTAGTTTGTCTTTTGTGTGAAGGGAGGAGCTGGGGTTGGGCAATTCCACAGCGTGCCTCTGTAAGTCTCCGTGCGCAACAGAATTTTCTAACAATAAAGTAGTGAAGCTGATGTGATGGTTAGTTAAATTCCATGCTGCAGGGCTCTGAATAGCATCCATCAGTATTTTATTAGTTTTCTGCAGCAGAGCTTCCAGTAGATGCGTTGGAATTACCCTCTGAGGAATCTGGAGGACGAGATGAATTGGTTGGAGTAGAATAACAAGATGCTGTAACGCAAGGGCTGCACGACAGCGCTTTTGAGTGCATACTGCTGATGGAGAGCTTTTTCTTTGCTTGCTTCTTACTCGTTATGTGACATTCAGTCTCCTTATTTTAACAATATCTGTGCGTGTGTCGAGGCTGCAGGTACCGGTAGAACCTGATGGCACTAATGCAGAAATTAGCATGGGATAGTTTACCCTGCTCCTTGGATAGGTTTTGCAATCCATGTCCCCCTGTGGTTGGCACTGCTGCTGGCTTCGAAGTAGCAGATTAGAGTTAGTTCAGGAATACTAGCTCTTCACTGCGATCATTTCTTCTCTTCAATCTCAACCTTGCTGTGCACAATCCTTCTCATCTTTGCCTATTTATGTATCCTTATCCATTCCTCCCCTTATGCCTGGTGAAGCGTCCCAGTCAAATATCTTCTCTTCGTCCAAAAGATGCCTGAAGAACATTTGATTTGGCAGTGCTCTTCCTCTAAAGTAACCGTTAAATATCGTTTGACTGAGTTATTGGCAGCTCATGTTGTTTTATTCTGCTTGTTTAACCTTGTACTCATCTAAGTTTTTAAACTTTCCAGAGCAGCCTATTTGGTGAAATGTGAACAGAGCGTGTATATCGCTACCTAAATTAAAAGAAACCTGCCTGCAGAGTTGACATCCTATTTAGGAAAGTTCAGTTATTCAGCTTGCTTATAGCTTGCTGATAGTCTCCCTCTCTCTCTCTTTTAAAGATAAGCCTATTTTCAGCAAAACACAGATGATCCTAAACTGTTAGGTGTGTAGTTTAATTATGGGGAGGGCGCTTTAATCTTTACGTAAAAAAAGGGTTGTACTTCCTGACTGAACAAGACAGCCTTGAGCTTTGGTCGTTATCTCCGTACTTCAGATTATCCAGCCAAGTTAGTAACTGTGTATTTCTTTCTTCCACAATGTGTGAAGCAAAAAAGATCAGGACTGAGTGAGTGAAACTTAGGTGCAGGCTGATAGTCACTAGGCTTACTTTACTAATTAGCGCCACTGTCCTTGGTATTTAACCAGCTGAACGTTGTTTGAACATCATAACCTACTTATAGCTAACAGTAACAGGACAGTTCTTCATTTGAACATCCGAGTGCTAAGCAAAAGAGAAGTTCTGTTTGAAGAAATTGAATCTGAAAGTGAGGGAATGATTGAAAGCTGTAATTTTCCAGGGTAGTGCCCAAATGACTTCTTGAGAGGTAGCCGAGAGGGAGTGAAACAAGGTTGCTGTGAACGTAACTGCTACTCAGGCCAAAATGCTTAGACCCATTGCCTCAAAGTTGTGATATAATTGTATATGTACCGGACCAACAAATGGGTAGAATCAGCTGCCGTGTTATAATTTATCCAGCTGCTTCTTTGCATAACTATCTCATCAAGATGTTAAGTTTGTTAAGATCTCTGTTTGAGCATATATGTAAATTAAAAAATAATTATTTCTGTACACCTCTTAGATGTTTGGTACTCTTACTAAATAACATTGGGATTAAACTGACACTGAGCTTTGTGGTGGCTTTTAAACAAATAAGAACTTTTTGAAACTGGTGCAGTCGTATTACGGAAAAATACTTCAGCAGAATAAGGAATATAGTACTGCAAACTAAATAGGAACAGATTAAATCTCCTAAAATAAATTTTAGGATATTGCAGTCTACTGAGCTTTCTCTAAAATTGTACAAATGTTATCAATTCTCAGAAATCCATGCTGAAGTGCAGTTGAAGAATTATGGGAAATTTCTTGAGGAGTATACATCTCAGCTGAAGAGAATTGAGGATGCTTTGGATGACTCTGTTGGAGATGTTTGGGACTTCAGTCTTGATCCCATTGCATTAAAGGTCTTTACATATTTGATATGCAGTGAAATTGTTATGTTCCTTATTCCTGTGTTCCTTCTAAACCTGGAGAGTAAAAGCTGCATACATTTGTGCTGTTAAGATTTTGATTTTGTGTTTGAGAAACCTGTCTAAAAAAATTTAAATGATCAAATAACTAATAAATTGGTGCTTCGCACCAGAGATGATGTTCTCACATTATTCTTTTTCCTGTCTTTTGGATGCCAGTGAAAGTTAAATGAATTTAGAGTTCTAAATGTCTTGGGAAGCCTGATACCTGCAAACTTTTTCCCTGCGGACTTTTTGTTTGTTTTTCTTTCTTTTTTTTTTTCCTCAGAAGAGCTCCCTGATAGTTGTATAAGTGAACAGTTGCAAAGTGAACAGTATGTGTATTTTTAATTATATTTTGATTTAATGGCCTTGATTTTTTTTTTTTTTTTTAAGAAAAGAAAAATACGAAGTATTTTCCATCCTCCAGAGGTGGTTATTTCGTTGGTCAGAAATTTCCTGTCCTCTGTGGAGTACATTTTTGTGTGTTTGTTTTCTTCACTGAACTTGTAGACGTTATTCAAACACACTTTTTTAGCTTTTGTTCCCATATGGAACTTGTCTATCCAGAAGACAGTGGGTCAAAACATTTCTCCAACTTCTCAAATTATGTGCGGGACCACTACAGTGCTGGATGTATATGAAACAGTCAATCTCATATCTGACTCAGGTACAAAATTTTAGTGCCTACATGCAGGTACACACAATGCCTGAGCTGCTTTTCTGCATACTTGATAATGACCATGCTTTTGCTTTACCGTTCCTGTAAGTAAATTACCATAAATACTGTATAGTATATCTAGTTATTTCCCTTTCTGTCTTCAGTGAAGGGGAAGGTGCTTCCCTGTACATACGAAAAGTAAAGATTTCCTGCAGCATAGGTTGTAATTAGTGTATGGTTATTGCCCTCTTATTACTGACCTCATTTGAGATTAAACTAAAAAAAGATACGATAATTACCTAGTTGGCTAAATTTATTTTTGAGCAATATTTTCTAAAGCTTTTTTTTTATTTTTTTTTAATGTAGCTTTTGCCATATGAACAGTCTTCTCTGCTGGAGCTCATAAAGACAGAAAACAAGGTAAGTGCTTTCTGCTTAAAGATGAAAGGTGATTGGAGTTATTCTAGCTAAAACAAAGCCCTCTAAACATGAGAGATGCTATACAAGGCATTTACTTGCTCTAGTCCTGTAAATGTAATCTATGTTTTTCTTCCCCTTTGAGTCTAGGTTCTGAACAAAGTAATAACTGTTTATGCTGCCCTTTGCTGTGAAATCAAGAAACTGAAGTACGAGGTAAATTCAACTGTCTTTTATTCCTGTGTGAAAATGTTCGATTGGCAAGCTGATACATAGATTTATTCTGTCATGATAAAGAAACAAGATACAATGCCTAAATAATTTTTATAGCATGATTGTATATATCCTATTTATTAAAAAACAAATTTCTGCTTTTGTTGTTAGGCAGAAACTAAATTTTATAATGGCCTCTTGTTTTATGGAGAAGGAGGTAAGTAGTTACCTTTACTGTGAAAGTTTGTAGTTTTATGTTATGACTTCAGGTTATATTAAAAGTTATAGTATATGCAATCCTGTAATACAGATTTATGCTTTCATTATGTTTTTTGCTGGTAAATGCCAAAGAATGAACTTCAAGGTTACAGAGCTATGCGTTAGTGTCTTATAACTATCCTGAAACAGCATTTAAGATTTTATCTTTACAGCCTCATTATTTGCAGTAAGTATTGTTATATTAATACAAAGTTTCATTACAGCCTTATTTACATGAGAAGTAGGAAGTAGGGACTGTTGACGTATTTTTTCAGTCAGATGGCCTTTTAAGTAAAGATACTGAGAAAATGCATGAGATACAAGAGCAATGCTTCTGGAGTTTGTCATGATTACTTTTGTAAAACATTTTAGCTTCTTTAATGTAATATTTAACGTGTAGTGCACAGAAACCTGAGCTCATGTATTGTAGCAGCTGTTTTTCAAAGTATGTTATCAAACACCTATTCTTTTGCGTGTAAATACGTTGTCCTAAACCAACCTCTTTCTTATTGGAACTAGATTTTGCAGTAATTCTTATAAAACAATAAATTTGTAATTTGATGGTCCAAGGTATTTATTCAGGTTTGTATTGTTTTATTACTAAGTCCTGTGCGCTTTACTCATGAGATCATAGTTGTTCCAGGATATTAATGTAGTCTTCTACCCTTAAAGTGCAGGTAATGTTACTCTCGCTGCTATGTAGTGTGTGACATAATACAGAGACATAAATGATTGTAAGTCAATCTAGCTGACAAATCATGAGTGCACACTTCAGGTGAAAACTGCTTTTTGTCATGGAATTATGCTGGTAACCCCTCTGAAGGGTTGGTCCAAGTGCTTTTTTAAAGGATGCTAGCCTGGGAATGAACACAAATCTTAGTCATGAGGTCTGACTGCATTGATGACTTGATTTAGGGACAGGACACCTTGCTTTGTTTTCTGTTTCAGACATGTGGGAGAAAGGGAAGGAATGCTTCTTCAGACTAGTCTTGGCAAAAGTGCTTTGCAAAGCGCTTTTCAAGAGCCTTAGATGTGACAGAACTATTGGGGAATGCGAAATCTTTGAGACAGACTATTTAACATACTTTAAGTACTATGCAAGATGACTATTGTGGTTCAGTTAAGAAACCTCAAAAAAAGGGTGTTTCTTGTTTTTTGTTGTTTGTTTTTAAGCAGGTTCTCACTTCTTCTCAGACATGTTTTTAAATATCTGAAAAGAAAGTGATGTGCTGCCAACACAATAGCCAGGGGGATCCCTCAAAATTTCTCCACATCTCTACAATGAAGAAAGACAGGCTGTTGCAGCAACAAGATAATATATTATAGCAGCAGTTTGTGCCCGCTTGATGTTCAGCAGAGAACGGTTGAGAATGGCAGGAAACGAGAGGTCAGCCTTCCATGGGTTAGATGGGGGTGCAGAAATTATGTTCTCTGCTCCCAAATCCCTCTTTGCAACTTCTACCATGGTAGCAGCAAGCTTAGTTCAGAACAGCTAGCAAAGTCACTGGCTCGGTTAAACAGAGAAATATTGTGCTGGCCTTTGCCTACTGTATATATGGAAAAACATTTCTTCATCTTGTCCTTACAGTGGCTATGGCTGGCCTAGGAACTTGAGGTCAAGTTAGATTTTGTTTTCAGGTCGTCCACTAAACTCAATATAAAAGTTAAATAACACACGTAAAGGGGAAGAATGTAGTATTTAGTATTTTTGTGCTGGAGCTTCATTTTACAGAAGTGTGGAGGTTCCTTTAGTCTCTGGTGACTGCTCTAAAGAAACATTTTTACAAAGCAGAAGACCAGAAATTTAAAACTAAATACAATTTAAGAGTTTCCTTCTATAAACTGGGAGGTGAGGTCTAGAAACAGGAAGCTGCTTTTCTCTGATGTGAGGTCAGTTCTTATGCTGGTAAGTTTGCAATTGTAAGCTGTTTTTACACAGAGTGACTCAATAGAAAAATATTAAGTCCATAGCATTAAATTGTCATCACGTTAAAAAGACTGTATTTTGTCAATGGTACTACAACCACTACAGCTGTCTGAAAGAATTCTGCATTAATGATGTAATTATTGTAACTCCTAGTGTCCTGTTACTATACTTTGTCATATAGTAATGCTTTGAAGACGTGCTGATGAACCAGTTCTGTGGTGCTGGATGGTATATAGAAAAGAAAAATCAACTTTTTGAAGAAATTGTACACTGTACAACTTTTTTTCAATGATTAATGATTGCAGTATCTTGTTTCAGTAAATAACAATATCACTAGACCTTCCTTGCAACATAAATACCTAGTACGTTTGCAGACTTTTCTTAATGGAAACTTTGATATGAAGCTATATAAAATAAATGCCGGCCAAGAATTGTATTCCATTTTTTTTTTTTTTTTTAATTTTCTTTCACGTGATGGAGACCTTTTTTCCCTGCTTTATGTGTAGCTTGTACACAATATAATTTATATTGAGACAGAAAAGTCAAAAAAAAAGTCTGGCTTAGGAAAGCAAAATGAGAACTTATGAGGCTCCATCAGGGATGCAGTGCCTCATAATAGTGTATTTATAACACTTGCATTACAAAAAATGACTTGGAGAGCAAGCTTCACTGGGAAATGAATTGGTCTAACAGGTTTTTGAAAGTAGTGACAAATCTTTGTCTTTCAAGCCACAGATTCCAGCATGGTGGAAGGAGATTGCCAAATACAGATGGGAAGATTTGTTTCTTTCTTGCAGGTAGAGTATATTTGGGTTTTGATAGCAGTTGTAATCTTAATGTCATTTGCAAAATGAATTTAACTGTCTACCCTATCCTGCTTGCGTCTGTTGCCTGAAAGGCATCAGTTATTTGACATGTTCGTGCATTTTGCCTGCAGAGCTGTCACAGTCAGCTCTCTTACCACAGAACTGTTTAACTTGGTTTGGTCATCTGTTGTTTTTTTTTTTCTGTTTATACTTGTGTAAAGTTCTGCAATTATGGTTTATGTAATCATTGTTCAAAGAAATTAGAATTTACCTAAGCAAATTTCAGCAAGAGAATATAATTGAGGTTGTTTCCTTTGACACGGTTAAGGAACTCTGGTTTTATGGTTTTGAGTGGCAAGTTTAGTTATTCATTGACAATTGGGCACGGATTGTTTGTTTGTACATATTTGTTTAGCTCATAGGAGGAGGCTAAAGTAAAATATGGATCTGGAAAAAAATTACTCATGACTCAAACTTTCAGAGAACATTTCTTTCAGAAGCAGTTTGGTGGTTATCGGGTTATCTGCATGAAAACAGGATCTGTGTTTCTTCCAAGGATTTCCTGTGCTCTTGGGTTTCAGGCTATGGTGGAAGTTTTTTCTTTTTTTCCCTTCAGTATAGTCTTTAAGTGACTCTCCTGTTCCAAATATAGTTTTATTTTCATACAAAACTTACTTGTAATGAAATATGTATGTTAAAATAGAGGAGATACAGGAAGCTTCTAGAATGTTTAAACAAAATCCTAATCAATAAAGCTTAAAACTACTGTTCTGGTTTTATACCAACATGGCAGTTCTCACTTACTGAGTCATTGACAGGTTAAATACCGTAGAAGAGTGCTTGTCAACCTCTTTAACCATGCTCAAGTGCAGTTAGTTGTTGGAGTATCTTGTTGATTTTTTTTTTCTTGCATTTTTCAAGGCTTTTTGTCCTACCAACTTTGTCAATTTTTTCTTTCATCCTCTAACTCTGACTGAGCAGATGTTGAGGAGAGATCTGTCAGTGGTCCTGAGTCAGAGCTACTGTACACTTCTGTTTTCCCAGGCATGATCTCTTTTTCTGCCAGGAGACCTCTCCGTATGAAAGCTGAGGACAAGATGACTGTCTGGATGTCTTCAGCATATCTGTATTGCAGACCCACTCTGTAGTACAAATTTATGCATATCTATAGGGGCTACTCTGATACATATATTTATAGGGTAAACGCTGAATAAAAATATAGCAGCCTCACTTGTGAGCCCACTTTTTATGCGTGCAGCTATGGCTTGCTGAAGGCTGGACAGGTCAGGAAAGAAGAGAAAGTCAGCACGTTACCCCAGAGGGAAGATCAGTGCGCTAACAGTTTTGTATTACTAAAGCTATGAGGAAATCTTTTTCCATCTTGATCCTATTCTTTTTTCACTGTTGTGTTTCTCTAAATCCAGTCAGGAGTCGTCTTTATCCATAGGCTGGGAAATACTGATATAGTCAATGTTGCGAGCAGATCCCTGAGGGCAGCGTGAAAATATGATTGAAAATGACAGAAGAGGTGAAACGTTGCTTTCATAGAGCTACTGTGCGCCTATAGGTTTACAGACTTTTTTTTGAGTTCAAGATTTCTTGGTATCCAGAGAATATTCACAACTTGATTAACTAGATGTAAAAGCCTAAAGTTTGGTGTGTAGTAACATTAAAAACAGAAATTATCAAAATAATGCAATGAAACACTGGTAGATACTTCTGATCCTATAGAATATAGTGTATTTGAAGAACTCTGACAACGTGGCCGTTGTCTGTACTGTGTAGCTACTAATAAGCACGTGCAGTTGAATTGGACTGTTGCCTGGAGGTTTTAAAATGGCAGCTGATTCTGACTTGTGTGTGTGTGTGTTTAAAAAAAAAAAAAGAAGAAGAAGAAGAAGAGAATTATGACCCAAACAGCATTTTAAAGTGGATGAAAAGCAGAAAGTGAAGTGTTCCTGGTTGATTGCACATCCAAGATAGTGAAATCCAAGCTGTAAATGATCTCTGGATGATAAAAATCAAATTAGACTTCTCTCGGCTGATTCCTCCCCACTCATCCCACGTTCACCCAGGAAATGATGTAATCTCGACTGTCTCTTTATCTGCTCCTCTGGAGTCTGTTAGCTGGTTTCAGCTGCGTTTAAGAGAGGAATGCAAGTATAAGAAGTAATGACACTTTCATGCTTTGTGCAAACTGGTGACTAGTAGAAGACAGAAGCCCAAATAAGATCTATTTTGGACAGAGGGGAAGGCGGAATTTGGCTGTTATCCGCGATCTTCTGGAAGCCGGCAGGCTAGCCTGTGTAGGCTGTCTGGTCTGCAGCCATCTGTGTGCTTTCTGGCCAGGCTGAGCACCTGCTGGCTTGCCTGATGGGAATATAGGGGATATTAGTGAGCAAATATTACTGTGTTTAAGAAAAATCTAGGTTTGTTTAGCATGGTGTTTGTTGAGTAGTAGAATAAAATCCGTTACAGAAATTAAGGTCAGTTATTTACGTTACCACAACTGCCATCTTACTCATTTTTTTTACTGTGTAACTGGGCTCAAGTTCTGCTTTAGTCAAAACATACCTCTTAAAGATGTTCAGTCTTGTTTTTTGAAGTCAGTCCACTTATTTGTCTTATACCAGTTAATCACTGTCAATGTCGGTACAGGCGTCTGTGTTAATTTCTAATTTGTCTCTACTGTTCCCAGAGATGTAACTTGAATCTATTGTAGAAAAGGTGAAAGAGTCGCTTGCTAGCAGGAATTTCCTCTATGAAGGTACTTGGGCACTGTTGTTCAGTCACCTCTTAATGCCTTTAATAAGGTGAACTCTTTAAATATCTTGCTGTAAAAGCTTTTAAGCCCGTTGAACCTCCTTAGGGTGACTGTTGCCTGTACTTTCCCCAGAGATTCAATATTCTTTTAAAAATGTGGTCTTGAGTGTCAGATGTGGTATTTCAGGATCTAGCTTGTCGAAGCCATTTGCAAGTGTGAAATCATTTCTGTCTTGCTTATTATGCTTCTATTTATATAACCATGATGCATGTTTGTCCCTTCTTAATGCAAGTTCTACTGGGAGTTTGTATTCAGTTCCTTCTTAACTGTAGCCCCGAATCCTTTTTTGAGTAGTTACTTACTAGGATAATGGTCACCATTCTGTCATAGGTCTGTCCACTGACTTGGATTAGGAAAGATACTTGGAGCTTGGGCTACAAGCTCGGGGGTTTACATTCCCTGTTTTAGAAATAATGACGTGTGTAACGAGGGTCGATACGTATATATGCCTTTTATTTTATTTTTTTCTTTCAGGAGTTGTCTTGCTTTGTTTCCCGATGTTATGAAGTGGTGGTGAATGTAGTGCATCAGTTGGCTGTTCTCTATACCAGCAACAAGTAATTACTGTCTGAAATGCTATATCTTTTGCTAACAGCTACTATGGATGATACTGTTGCTTATTTTCATGTTGTGAGTCTTAGTTTATATTCCTCACAGCATTGCCATGATTCTCATACATTAAGTTGAGCTTAGTGAGGTCTGATGGGTTTAGCTGCTGTGAAAACCAACCCTATTATTAGGTGTTGTGTAAAATCTGCTCACGGTACTTGCAGGCGTAGCTTGTATTATGGCACACGTCTTTAGATGATAGGATAAGGAAAAAAAATACCAGAACAATGCACTAGGGCCTGATTTTCAAAATAGTTTGTCGCAGATAAGCGGAGCTCCTACTGTCACTGAAAATCCTCTTAGAGGAGAATAGAATTGCAGGGCTCTTGATCTTTTTTTCAGATAGGATAACACTATCCTTTTCTGTTTTATTTGTTGTTTTTATTTTTTGTCTTACATGGCTGCACAAAGTAGGCTTTCTGTTCGGTGCTGGGTGTGTAGCCTGGATATCACTTGGTTAAGAGTGTGAAGACCTTGCAGCTGAAGAGCTGTATGAATGCTGCATGCTGTTTGCACAGCTGGGAATTGCTGATATGTGTGCAGTGAATGAAATCTGTGGTTTGATCCAGTTGCATATTGTTCATTCAAAAAAACAATTTTAAACTTGATAGCAGCACACAGATTTCACACAGAGCATACTTATATTTTGAGTTCTTTTGTTTTCTGAAAGTTACTATGTTAATGAAGAAAAATATATTCCCAAAACCAGAAAGAGAACACACCTTGATATGGAATTGATAAATGTCCTCTATTTTAAGGATTAAAAAGATGTTAAGCTACTTATTTTGTTTACAGGAATGCGCCAAAAATTATAGAGACATCAGGAGTTCATTTTCAGGTGGGAATGATTTGAAGTCCTTTTGCTTATGTTAATATATTTGTCTTAATCACTAATACTGAGAAAAAGTGGCAAGAAAGTGAATTTCAAGTACAGCTTTTAATCTGGGATCTCATTTAAGCGTTTTACTTTATGAATCAGCCTTTTCCTGTCCTGTATGTGGAAAGGGTTGCTACCTCCACGTATGTCAGACTCTGGCTTTCGTAGCTGAAAAGCATTTGCGTGCCCCCATACTGTATGCAATATATGCTTGTGCATGTAGACAATTTGGGAATCCTACCTTCACTATCAAGTTACTTTAGCGAACACCAAGTGGGGCCTGCATGCAAGCTCCTGTTCCTTGTGTCAGTCACTTCACAAAATACTTGATCTTTAAGGTACCAAACCAAGAAGTCTCTGATTTAACTCTTTAGCTTATTGACCGGTACAATGTTGAAACGAACCAAAATTTTATCTGCCACTCACCACTGCAATAAATTTTTTTAGTAACTGCAGTCTGCTTTTTAACAGACAGTGTACGAGCATTTAGGGGAGTTGCTGACAGTCTTAATCACGCTGGATGAAATAATTGACAATCATGCCACTCTGAAAGATCACTGGACTATGTACAAGAGGTATGTCTCTGAAGGTGTGAAAAATAGTCCCACAAGATAAAAGATGAAAACAGGCATTTTTTTTTTTCCTAAGAAAGTTGGTTTGGGAACGTGGATTTTAATAGCCTTGAGAGTTTTACCAGGAACCTCCGTGAGGAGCAATGGGGGTATATATAATATCATGGAGATATACTGTTCCATTGAAAATGTCAATAGATAAGATTTATTCAAATGCTAATGACTTATGGAGACCTAGTGCGTTTGCAGGGGGGAAGGGGAGTGGTGTTTTTTTAATATTGGAGTTGCTGCTGGGCATAGATACGGGCAATAAATTATAATATGTTCCACAGAATGGAGGACTCATCAAAACAATACAGGATGAAAAACTGTTAGCATGTTCTGATTGTTTTTTGTGTGTTTGTGCCTCCCCCAACATCCTTACAGGCTGTTAAAATCTGTCCATCACAACCCTTCTAAGTTTGGGATTCAGGAAGATAAACTGAAGCCATTTGAAAAGTTACTGTTAAAACTGGAATGCCAGTTACTTGATGGAATGATATTTCAGGTAATGAAATTAACATTTCCCAGTATGACGGGGGAAACTGATATTAGATGAAACCATTTCTAAAATGGTATTTAATAGGGTTTTGACCTTCTGTGAGTATTTTAATTTTTGTTGTTGTTGTTCTGGGTTTAATGTGTGAATTTGGCTTTCGTGAATTTGGCTTTCTTGCATTTATACATTAAAAATGCTCTGTTGTGAGATCCTTCCTTTCTCTTCTCGTGTGTTAGAACTGTGCCAGGCGTTGAATGGTAGCAGTTAATGCTTACTGTTTTGCAGAATGAAAGAAACAGAACTTGGCATTAGAACTGTGTATTTTAGGGGAGTCTGTTTTTCACCAAGAATGTTGATAGTGGTCAGGTGTAGATAGTGTAAATCGAAGATAGTTTGCTTTATTGGGGAGATTTTAACTCACAGCTATATTAATCTTCAAATGTGCATTTTGTCAGGCCTCCTTTAACATGTAAGACAGCTGTCATAAAAATCAGAAGTCACTTTAGTGATTTAGTGATATTCCTGAAACATACAAGTTAAGTGCACAGACGGATTACTACTTTTCTATGTATTTAATGTATATGCATTCATAGAAGCAGCCATCCTTTTAGAAAAGCGTCTCTATCTGAGAGACTGAAATCAGATACGGTGGCATTGTGGGCAGTGGATAGCACTGCTGAATCTGGTCACAGCAGAGGCACTTGAGCGCTTTGAGTCTTACTGTTATATCTGGCACGAGTGGGAGAAGAAGGTTCTCGTCTGAAATAGCCTCCAAAAGGGAAATTATACGTAAATCATTAAACGCAGTTTAGCTTCTTCTTTCAAGGAACATCATGGTCAGCAACTACTGTCTTATCTTTCTCTAATGTTATGTTAATATAAAGACTTCATGCTGTATTTAATTTGAGATACGAGTAGGATTTGTCTGGCATTCATTCAAGGCATTCCCCCTCCCCCCCCAATGAAAACAAAAATATTTGAAAAATATTCTGAAATATAATCCTATTAAATATTCTTCTAGTATATTTAGAAAATATGAAATGTTTCCATATATTCCTGTTTTGATTTTTATGTGTGTTTTTGGAAAACTTTAAAAAAGAAAACAAAAAAATGGTGTCAGGTTTTTATGCTGTGACTTCATGAACCACATCCTGCAAATAACTTGTGTGATAATCACATTTAATCTTGCTTGGTTAATGGACAGTTAGTAATGTATTATAACATAGAGAAATAAATATGCATCTAGTTTCTTGTCGCTAATGCATCATGTTTTCTTTAAAAATACCTCTTAACGTAAATGTTAAATAAGTAAGTAAAATGGTTGTTTGAATATTAGATATAGGAGAGGTTTTAATTTAGCATAGTAAACCAGATTGAACATTCACAACATTGATTTTTAGTTGTTCTAAGTTAAGACTGTAAGTTCAGATTTATGATGTAGAATACAGATTATTATTCCGCCCTACTGCAAAATCAATATTCTTTTGAGGTCCAGAATTCATAGCATTAACATGTATCTTCTTTTCTTTTTGCTCAGGCCTGTATAGAACAACAGTTTGATTCCATAAATGGTGGAGTGTCTGTGTCGAAGAACAGCGCGTTTGCTGAAGAGTTTGCTCATACCGTTCGCACAATTTTTGCAAATGTTGAAGCTAAACTTGGTAATGCCAGCTCATATTTCTTGTGCCAAGCTCACTGTTTCTAAAAGTTTTATATTGTTTGTCTGGAAGTAGACTTCAAAAATGGTTTTGTGTGTGTGTGCATGTGTTTCTGCAGGTGAACCTTCAGAAATTGACCAGAGAGATAAATATGTAGGAGTCTGTGGCCTCTTTGTACTCCATTTTCAGATTTTTCGGACCATAGACAAGAAATTTTACAAGTCATTGTTAGATGTCTGCAAAAAGGTGAATGCTTTACTCTCTTGTCAATAATTATGAGAAAATAATCTTAAAATCAGTAGTAAAGTAGATACATTTCATTTCTTAAAATGTAGCATAGCTAAGACTTGGAGAAAGAAAATACAATTTAGCGACAATTTTCAGGGAGCAGATGTAATAGTTTTCTACTTTGTTACAATTTTCCCCTCCCTTTTTTTTAAAGATAATGTAAAACTTTTGTTCTCCCTTCGTTTTAGATTTAGTTATCAGCAAGTAAAATGACTTGAAATTACCGTTATATTTTTTTTTTCCTCAAAACCCATATAGCAGTGAGGAGTAAAAAAAAAAAAAAAAACGTTTATAGATTTGAGTATTGTGGAACTGAATAAATGACTTGGGGTTTTGACCTTTGCTATATAACATGCATTTTCAAATACCTCCAAGTACAATGGCAATTGTTTGTTTTTTTTTTTTCTTCATTTTTCAGTTAGTATTAAGAAATGATTCTTTAATGCTATTCAGAAGCACTGAGAGTGGTAACAATTTTGCATGTGGTGTATGTACTTCATGACTTTTAGGGCAGGAACCATTTTGTGTGTGTGTGAACATAATGCTTTGTAGAAATTAGTGATTCATAAATAAACTGAATTGCCTGATAAAGTTCCAAAGAATTGTAAAAACCAGATATTTAAGTAAAAAGTCTGGCCCTGTGCTGCGTGGCATGGTTATTGGTTGTAATTACTTAGGCTTATGGCTACTTCATAGTGGGTTTTTTATTTTTATTTTTTTATTTTTATTTTTTTTTTATTATTTTTTTTTTCCCCGTTCCAGGTACCAGCTATCACATTAACTGCTAACATTGTATGGTTTGCTGATAACTTTCTGATTCAGAAGATGCCAGCTGCTGCCAAACTTCTGGACAAGAAAAGTATTCATACAGTTAAAATGCAAAGGGAGAATTTTCTGCAGCAGAAGGCGCAGTCACTCACTAAGTACATTTGCTAAATATTCCTTCATTGTGCTGTTGAGCAAATAGCTTATAACCACGTGATTGTATTCGTTCGGTACACTAACGTGCAGCATTGCTCAGTGGCATTAAATAATTGTTATATTTCATTGCATTGTGTGTGTTATAGTGCTGTTGAAACAGTGCCAGTCACAAACAAGTATTTTTCATGTCATGCTTTCAGAAAATCCTTTCTTTTTTGTATACCAAAATCACAAAGTTCTAGCAGTTTTACGTCTTTGACTGCTTCAGTTGTTTTTATTTCTGCACTTTTAACTTTCTTCTTCTTTAATAAAAAACGAAATAAAATAAAACTAATGTCTTTTAACCTGAGCTGCTGTGTTTTCCATTAGGGCGTTCAGATTTCAATCTGTTTATGGAGAGTAAGTCTCTAGTAGGCTGACTAACTTGCAGAGGGTTTTCTTTTCTCTGTGGCACTTGTGCTGTGCGTGTCATTTCTTTCCCT